GATAGATAGATAGATAGATAGATAGATAGATAGATAGATAGATAGATTACTATTTTTTCATCTGTTATTTGTTCTCTCTCTTAATTATCACTCTTTCAGAGTATATTTTTAAGTCCCACAGATTTACTCAGCTCTCTGTCATGATGTGTGGGTGTGATCCACATCATTACAAGTGAGTGTGCTTAGAGGTGCAGAGTTTTCACCGTAACTTCTCTCGAAGTCAGTCTGTTCTTAACTTTGGTGTCGGAACAGGAGAAATGCCTTTAATTGCCCCACTTCAGAAACTGGATTGAACAAGTCTCGTGAAAGACGTTTATGGAAACTGGTTTGACATGTCATCAATGAGCTGCACTCATGTCTGTCACACGGGATCTCAATGTGAAATACAGTTGAGGTTGTGGAGGAGATGGGTCTTAATTGTGCCGGTAAAAACAGTTAATGAAAGCCGCACAGCTTTGATGCTTAGACTCACTGTTGAACTTAGCATTCAAAAATTGTCATTTTCAGACTTCTTCTGTCTGCAGATAAAATGGACAGAGAGAATGGCGTGTTTGTCAAAAACATTTAGAATTATTTTCTGCTGCAATTCATTAGTTTACCATGTACTGTGTTTCAGAGGTTGTAATGAATATTTTCTGAATTGTTTATATGATATTTCATGAGATCAATGTAAGAAAACCTTTGATTATGCTTTTGTATTTTTTTAATAAAATGTTCATGGATAGTGAAGAAAATGTTCCATAGATTATTTTCTGTTGTCCTCAGATGTCAATTTGCTTCTGATGGATTAAACATTTTTGGGGGGGGGTTTATCTTACTCTTTTTAATTTCAAATTAAATTTTTATAAAACAAATTACATAAAATATGTTGTGGCTCTGTGCAAAGTCAAGTCGTCAAACTGTTAAGATTATGCAGAGGGATGGGATAAACACTGGTCCAAGTCTGTGATGAACTTGGTATGAGCTTAATAGATAGGAATTATAAATAAATGAACTGTACAACCTAGTTGTGTGAACTAGATTTAGCATTTTGTTACTTTGTAGTTTTAGATCAAAGCCTCTCTTTTTAAATGTAAGCCAGCACTCCGTCTCTATACACACCTCATTCACTGCACCAGCAAACAATGTTGAACTCAACAATTTAACATTTGTCTTCGTTTGACAAACTACCCTTTAGCCCAAACAATCATTTGATTGACTGCATGAATTTATTCCATCTTTCACCGCCCACACCCCCTTCCCTTGCTGTCAATATCAGAGCAGAAATAACAAGGCAGAACTTTCACTTTAAGTTAATGTAACTAATGTCAGTCACAATGTTTTTCTTTTTTTTTTGGGAGCTCACCATCTTTTATCAGTGGGATATATGCACGTTGTTGAAAATGATCCTGACACTAAGTTCTGGTGTAAATCTAAGAAATGTTTTATAAATGAGGTCCCAAGACTGCTCATTAAAAGTATTTAGGAGCTGATGCGGCATTTGTGCATCCCTGTTTCTGTTGCAGTAGAGTTCACCATGTCAGGTAATCGTGCAAGAAACTACACGCTGCAATACCCCTTTGACTGCCAACAAACACGGTTCAAAGCCATAAAACAAAGTCACTGAAGTTAATTGAGTGCTGTCATATTAAATTCTGTTGAGTATTTCATACAGCAGCAGCACAAGAGCTATAAATCTCTGCTTTACGGTTGAATGCTGACTAGCACAATGGGGGTTTTAAAGGTTTTGTTTAGTTGTTTTTAATTTTACATCTTCCCCTAACACTGTTTTCTCCGTCTCCACCTTTCCCTTTGCCAGGGGAGCACCTACGCATCTGTCCTCAGGGCTACACCTGCTGTACCAGTGACATGGAGGACAAATTGGCCAGTCAAAGCCGTACGGAGATAGAGGGAGTTCTTAAAGAAGCTGGTCGAGCCATTCAAACTGAACTTGCTGAACAGCAAAATGTCTTTGATGGTGAGTTTTTTGCATTCATTATGGCAACATCAGAAACTTCCATCCATCCATCCATTATCAATACCGCTTATATATAGCTAATATGAATCATGTAAATGCTATGTCCCATGTTTAAAGCATTTGGAGAATGACAGAACAATTCTACCCAACACCAAACAAGACGGAGACTAATAGGGCTTTATTGTACATATGGAAATATAAGTGCCAGCAATACAAATTGAACTCAATGTTGAGACATACATTATAGTGTCAGTTAGGCACTATAAATCTGCCACTATGTTCTTGGAATTCTAAAATAGTATCAGGTTTTAATTGCAATTCGTCAAGTGTGAGAGACGATTTTCAGTGTAAGAACATTGTTGCACCAGGGCAATTATTTTTGTCTAATGGCTTGCTCAAAAGTTAATAGAGGGGTATCTCTGTGCTCCACTCCGTTCCCCCTCGCCTGGCTGTGACAATGGATCTGTCAGCTGAGGATCTGAGCTTGGCTAGTTAGCCTGACCTTTTCAGATCATAGTGATTAGTGGTTGAGTGAGATTTGTTTGCTTTCTTCGATGGCTTTGTCTCCTTCTTTCTCATGGCCCCTCATTTGCACCCTGGGTCTCTTTTGCTGTGCCAAAGGGATACAGTCATCTAACCAACAAATAACTACACACACATCTACCCAACTCGCAGTCTAATACATACACATTTTCCCAAAGTTAGTCTAAGTCATTCCACAGTTCTTGAACTCCTTCATTTGTCAGGAAAACACTTAATTTTGTACATGAGAGCACATAAACAACAGTCTTCACAAACACACTCTGGCAGTACTCAGCTGCTATTTCTAAATATGTCATTATTTTACATCCATAATTTCACAGGAAAGAAATGGTCAAAACATTCACACAAGATAAAATAAGTGGATTTTGTTGCTTCACAGGGATTTACAGCCTTTCTTTCTTTACATAGGCCCATCAGACAACAGTTGTTATACATTTCTGTTTACTGCTGTAGCTTTGAAACAGAAAGTTCACAACATTTGTTGTCATCAGACCATAAATCCAGCTCCGACCACTACTATCCTTTCCTTTTCAAATTTGTTCAGCTCTGCTCTTTCTCTCTGTCCCCAAATATTTCCCTCATTTACCTTTCCAAGGCTCAGATGGCATTGGCAGTTGAGAGGGAGAAGTGTATGACTGTTGAGACCTTAAGGTCCAATGAAACATCTGCTGTGTGCTGCATCCTTGAAAAAAGCAGACTGGGGTTAAATGGACCGTGATATGTTGCATTTTCTGCCATATGACTAGAATTTTGGCAGGATTCAACTATTTTTGCTAAAGACGTCCTGTTTAACTCTAATTTAAAGGTGAGATACAGAAGTTACATTTACTTAAGACAGTTAAACTGTTTGCAATGATGGACCTGTCACTCTTTTAAACGGTTCAAAGTTGTTAGATAGAAGGCATTTTGTAAGTTTAAGGAGACAGACCTTATATGGCAAAAAACGACTGATGATTAACTGCTTCCCAGACATGTCCAGAGAGGAGTTTTTTTATTCAGGCCACAAGACCATAAAGTGACATTGTACCATGTTTCCAGTCCCTGCACATCTGGCTGTGTTTAGCTGGGTGTGGACTAACTAGCGCCATGTGGCTAAGTGCAGGGTGTTACTGTTCCAGCCCAGTCAAGCTAGTCCTTTTTAAGTCCAGGAACTTTGGAAGAAGCACCAACTAAGCCACAGATTAGAGGACTTGCATGTTTGCATTGACTTGACTCCGGGCCTGAGAGTTTTTGCACTGTATATACATGAGAATGCAAATGTGTGTTTGCATGCATATGCTTATGATTTACAGTTTGTTACTGTGTATGTCACTAAAAGGGATTGTGTGTACTGATGGCATGTGTGAATGATTTCCTCTCAGTTCAACTTTAATTTATGATAAATATATTAGGTCAAACAATGTTGCTGCACATATTTGAAAGTAAAATATTTAAAGAAAGGAAACTGGTGAAAAAGAAATATGTGAAAGAATAAAACATATTGACAGGAAATGAATATAAAGCCAGGTGTGTTAAAGAGATAAACTGTCAGCGGCAGTCAGTTCTGAAAGTGAAATGAAAAGGTCAAGGAGGACACAGAGTGATGGCACCGAAGGGAGTAGTGTGTGAGATGGCAGCCAGGTGTGTTAGACAGACGGAGGCCTTAAACCTGGCAGGTGGTGTTTGGCCTCATGGTGCCATCCGTGACATCTGGATATGTGCATGAATGTTTTGACTGTGTATGAGCATATGTTCATCTGTATTGTTTCTACATTATTCAGAAGCATGTGTCTCACTTTGTCTGAATGAGCATTTATTTGTCCTTTCTGAGATAAAATCAAAAGAGAAAACCATATTCAAAAGCTACTTGGCTCGTGTATGTAAATGCATTGAAGCACGCCACAGTCCTGCAAGATTCTGCAAGCAACTGCAAACTCTTGCTCGTATATAGTTTTCCAATAGGTCTTTACTTTGCTCATGTTAACCTTTAAACACACCATGTACCCTTGATAGATAGTGTGTGTCAAAACCTAGCTGGGAGGGTAGGTATTTTAGCCAATGCGTTGCATCACAAATACAGTATGTATTGTTTAAATTAAGATGAATTGAAAAATACCGGTTTGATAGCTGTTTTACAAGTAAGTGACAGATGTTATTTTAATTACAAATGTAATTGTTACAAATCCATTGGTTGTTAAAATTTACTTTTTCAGTTCACTGGCAAAAGGTTGACCAAATTATGACATGGATTATGTCTCAATAATAAAAAGAAAACCGACAACTTTCAAACAAAGTCTGATGGTAATACTTGCTTTTAGGAAACAAATACTTGTTTTAGTAAAGATTATAATTTAAACACAGGTATCACTCTGGCTCCTTATGGTCATTTTTTTGTTCTGAAATGACCAAGACAGACATGGATACATCTATTTGTCATAAAGATTTATGCTTGCAGGAGTCCTCCAGCCACACATCTAATTTCCTGTTCCCAGGGTCACCTCTGATGATGTCATGCAGAACAATGACCTTTACTCTTTTCTTAGTGCTTGATTGACTCGCTGAATTTGCATGCAAATCATGTCAGGGAGAAAATGAGTACGCTGGCTTAATGATGCCAATAATATTAATGGGACCCTGTTTTTTTTAAAGCATGACAGTGGGAAAGAGGAGTATTGGGAAAAGCTGTGAGAAGTTAACTGAAATAGAAAATAAAAAAAAAATTACACAAAAGGTTGAGGAATGTTGTGTAGTTTCTGGGGAAAAGAAGCAAGCGGGAACAACTGAAAAAGAGAACCAGATGGATAAAAGAAGAAACAGGCGAGAGTAAATGACACATAATGGCAGCTTGAGATAGTCAGAAGAAACACCAAAAGAGTGGAATAAAGGCTTCCACTAAAAGCCTGGTGATAAATGATATGTATTACATGATACGTCGGCTTGTTTACTAAAGACCTTGAAGTAGCACGTAAATTTTTGCTAAGGTTCTTGTGTTTCTGGGGCACAGTATATGTGTGATAGGTTCTGCTATCGGTTGAGAGTCTTTCTGGCCTCTAAACATTTTAATGGCTCCCAGATCAGCAGTTGTATGTGTGCTTTACTCAGGATTCAGTGTTTGTTTGTGCCTGCTGTGTTTATTTTTTCAGTGTTCATGCACGAGAAGAGAAAAACAAAGGGGGAAAACCAAGAATTCCAATTAACCGCTGATAGAGGATGGGTTATTGCTATTCCACTGTACCCTTTATACATTTCCTCTTAGAAGTCGTTGTGTTTCTGTGGCTGTACAAGCTGTGTGTGTTGGTAAATAGTGACAAGCATTAGACCAAGTTTCTTTTTGTTTTTTCAACATTTTTTATACAGTTATGGGTTTAATTTTTGTCACCAGGAGATGATAAAGACTGGGAAAAATATCTTATATAGAAAAAGTGGACACCAATAATGTTTTTAATATTAGCTATTAACTACAGTTTGCCATTATATATTAAAATCAGAATAATATTATTGTGTTTGTTGTTCACTAGTATTAAACTGAGGCATCATTTGGTGGTATATCTGTCATATTAAACAATATATTTTGTGGCAGTGCTACATCTTACTAAGGCTGCCAGAAACATCAGAGTAAGATAGGGAGGGGATCTCAAGAGATGTGTGAAAGACAAACCATTAAATTAGAAAAGAAAACAGTGCAGAGTTTCCTTTCCGGTAAGGCTGGATTTGTCACTGCGTCCTCACTGCTGCTCCCTCGGTGTCGTACACCAGTGTATCGGCATATTGTTGCCATTCCAAGCACATTGGCACCACAGACTCCATTATATCCGCTATCAATACCACACAGTCCAGGAGCGTCTGCATCCCATCAGGAATTCCACCAAATTACCAGGTACATAATACTTACTTCTGCCGCTCTTTGAGTCTGCTCTGCCAGAAGCCTCTTGTCTCCTCCTCTCACCTGCACACTGTGCATTGTTCGTTTAGGTCAGAAAAATTGGATTTTTTTTCTACACAAGGAAATATAGTCTTTCCAAAAGCATGTAACTTTCTACCAACTGCACAAACTTACTATTGCAATTCTGTAGATTGCAGTTCTTTTCTCAGTTGTTTGAAATTGGTTTCAATCATTTCCAGAAAACATTGACTTTATAGATAAAACAACATGGAGGCTACACTTTAATGGGTATCTGTTCTTTGGAAATACATCAAATGACAAATCATTGAATAGATGAGAACATTTCCTTTTGGTTTTCTTTTATCTTTCCTTTAACTATCTTTTCTTTTTTTTAAGAATAATCTTAAAGAGCGCATTGTTTGTCTGGTACATGCATCATCTTTTGTAGGTCGGATGGGACTAATTGTTACAGTATGTAAATAAAATGAAGATTTATGACATGTGATGTATGTATCCATGTTACTGTCAAATGACTGCAACAACATTTTAACCTATTGATGAAAATTCCACAGCAAAACTATAAAATTCTGCCTATTAATTTAAATTCTAACCTGTAACGATAATTTTTGAATGACCTTTTAAAGCAAGTTACATTAAGATGGCAGCTGGAAGAGGAAATGTCCTAATTCTAACTCAAGATTGTTGGAGAAATCCATCACTATTCCTAGACAGGATTAGGATAGTCTTTTAAAATATTGAAAATTTATAGAAGTGTACAGCCTTAGAATGCTGTCTTTTTTTGTAAGTATGTGAGTATATTTGCATGCTTCTTTGTCAATGTTATCATCTATTTTAATTTTCCCTCTTTCTGTTTTCTAGTGTCAGCACCATTATGATTCAGAAAACGAGCTATTCCCATAACTTAGATCGTATATTTTGCAAAGTATTTTTAGTGTTCCAACATGTTCCCAACCAAGCAAAACATTTCCTGCACATACAAGGTCGGATAACTGGCAATTAGAGGAAACAAATGCCAGAAAGAGTTTCACCAGAGACCAGAGTGAGCAGACAAATTATAAAAGCTTTTCTTTTCTTTTTTTTGTCAGCCTGCAATTGTAATCACAAACCGATTTTTCTTTTGCCTGGGAATCTAACTTTATTAAACAATGGTAAATGTTACCAGACTCTTTGTGGGAATTTGTGACACAATCCTTAGTCGGTTGATACATTTGTGTGAGAAAGTAACTCAGTTTAGCGAGAATGATTGGCAGCAATAGAAACATCTCTGAACATATAAATTACACACAATCCCTTTTCAATAACATAACCCAGAGAAGATTGGTGCAAGTTCAAATAAAAAAAAAAACAGCACTGACATATAAGGTCTTTTTAAAAGCTCTGTATTGATTTATAAAATGATCCAGGGATATAACAGGACTGCGGAATACCTTAGAGATACTTTCATGTTCAATAGAATGTCTGTATGTGCTTTACTGAACGTGTGGATGCATTCAATCACATTCAGAAGCAGCAAGCCAGGTGTGAGAATTAACATCTGGTTTGTCAAGGTGGCTTGGATTTGAAGCTCAGAGAGAATGAACTCCCCGCTCAGCACAGGAAGACAGTCATTAGGCATGTCTGCTTCACTTAACTTGTTCTAAGAGTGTGAATAAAAAGCTACAATGTGATGCTGGTGGAGTGAAGCTTAAAGGTTTTCTTCATCTTATGTCACAAGGAATGTCTTTGCTGTCATTTATTGAAATGAGCACAGCTTGTGGTTGGTCATCAGAGCAGAGGTGGACAGTTATGTTGCTGAACTGTAGTGGAGAAGAAACATCAATCACATGACATATGTTGAATGGCAGAAGCCAACTGGGATAGGAACCATATCATCTATGGGCATTATTTTAGTGTTTCATGAGCTCTCGTGAAAGGCCAACTGAACCAGACACTAGATAAAACTAGAAAAGTTTCACTTTCGTCTTTTTATATGTGTTTTTATCTTACCTTAAGAACCTTCATAGTTACATCTCAGGAGTCTCTGTAGTTTTTCCCACTCATAATTCTTGTTGACCACACACCGTTTCTTTAGATTTTTTCCCCCTGATGGTTTAAAGTCTGTAAAGTCAGCAATATAAAGTAAGTTGTGGGTAATATTGCTTTTCCATCCATTGTGGGCAAGGTCTGAAGTAATTGCTCGGCTTCCACTCTGTTTTCTGTTTGTTCTGCAAATAAAGCTTTTATGCTTAGTAAATAGCTGTGAGCATTCACTGCAAAATTAGAAAAGTTAAGAGCAGCTGTCAGTGTTCATAATAGTTCTTGAATATATACAAAATAATCCCTTGCATTCTAATTCAGTTTTTGCCCTGTCACTTTTTTTGGCCACAGCCATTTTTCTGGTCCTGGAATATAAACAATCAAACATCCTTTCAGATGTTTTCAGAATGAAGTGGCTTTAAGGCATGATGCAGATGTAAAGAAAGGATGAATAAAGGAGGGGCTACAGAGGCACAGGCAAATGACAAATGTGGAAGGTCATTTCACACAACAAACAGTAAAACGCACACACATGCACACACATATATATTTTTTTTGGTCATACTAATCAGGATCATTACTCACTTGAGTTGATGGGTAGAGGAGAAGAGGACAGCACATACCTGCCCTCAATGCACAGTGTTCCCAAGGCAGTTAAAAAAACATGCCCTAAACAAATGACTTCTATAAACAGAAATACGGATAATTCATTTTTACTGGAGAAAAATTCTGTGAAATTAGATTTGCTACATTCGGTTTTACAAACCAAGACCTTTTACAGTTCAGCTGACAGAATGCATCAGGAAGACATTTTACCGGAGATTAAAAGCAAATCGGCACCTGTCACAGCAGCTTCCTGTTTATCTGTCCTTCTGTCTCCCTCAATATTATGACTCCTGGATTTTATTCATTAAAATGCGTGTGTTAGGGTTAGGCATTTTTCTCTGCACGTGCATCTCTGCAGATTTCTGCAAATGTCTTATTTTTTTCACGATTCTGATAAACATTTGTTTTCCTCTCAGTAGTATAGTTGTGGCTCTCCCTACTCTGGTAGTTGATTTTGGTTCAGAGCCATATTTACATATGGTTTGAATTATGGCATATCAGTGAACTAAAGATTGTGTTCTCTGGGGATATCTCATCCAGCTGCTGTTAAATAACTACTGAACATACAGCTGCTGCATGTTTGATTTATTCAACATAGCGGCATGTCTGACCAAGCAATATTATCTAGAAAAGAATCACATGTGATCTCATGGGTGGGAGTAGGGTGGGGAATGGTCCCTGTGGTAAGTCCACTGCAGAACACATTGTTGGTACAGACTGCCTTTTTTTTTCTTTTAGTGAAGAGGCAGGATGCGGGAGAGTGTAGGAGGCAGAGTGGAAATAACTTCCTATATGAAAAAGTCCTCACAGTGATCCTGGTTTGATCTCCTCTTCTAGAGTATGCAAGCAAAACAGATGAAAATATGTGCAGCAATGAACTTGAGAAAATGAAATACTGTGTTTAGGATTTAAAGGTGACTAACCTCTAATGCTTAATTGAACGCCATAAAAGCACCTGCTTATAAGTCAGAGTTGCTTTTTAGGTACTGCATCCATAATCTATTCAATAAAACGGTCAATGTTTAATTATTTTGCCTTAATCTAAACCGTACTTTGCACAAATACCACATTTTGACTCATTTTCAGACAGAGCTGGTGATCAAAGTGTACTTGAAATACGGTTCCAGATAGATTTGATAGCTTTTTAAGGAACTTTTACTAAATCTAGAGAGACTGTTTTGGAAGCAGAAACTTTTTAGCAAGGTTCTCACTTGTTTTTAGTAAGGCAAGTCATGCAACAGTGAGATTGACTTTAAGCAACTACTAGATAAGAATGTGCAATACTTGAGACCAACTGACCACTCCCAGGTTGGTGGCATTGTCATTGAAAAAGAATGCCCTCAGGATCCAACTTTTCGCTTCTGGTTCGCGTCTCGTTAAAACAATAAAATAAACTGGAATAGCCTGATGTGCGAGGGTATGGGAAAAGCGTGCTTAGAGATTTCCAGGATGGTGTGTGTGTATCGTCTTTACAAAAATGGTCATGAATTATAAAACAAATTTTGAAAAGAAAACAACAGAAAATAAGAGAAAATAACAACAACAAAAAAAAAACAACAAAACAAATACTGTCTGTCTTCCAGATAGAATAAATGTGAGTCACTTCTCGCAGAAATGCTCTGTGCTAACATCTGGTGCTGAACACATTTTCTCAAATCTACAGGTCCAGTAAGAGTGAATCTTTTATCTTGAAGCGTGTGAAAAGACGGGAGGAAAGCTACAAACAAACGCAGCTGTGAAACAAGCTGGGTGCTCTTTATCAATGAAAAGGGAAATGAAACAGAGATATGTTTTTCCAACTAGGCCAGTGATTAGATAATGCTACACAGATGGGTCAGTATGGGCTTAGCATATTAACGTGTTATATAACTACAAGTGCTCAGATTGTCTTGACACTATTAATGTGCTCAATTTTTTTGTTGTTTGTTTGGGTGTTTTTACATGTTTTCCACCACGTTACTTTTCCAAATATGTTCCACATTAGACAGAATGTGTTTGCATTTTGTTCACATATTTTGTATGCAAAGGGGACCAGGACAATATAAGGAAGCCTGCCTCCATTTTGGGTCTGCAACCGTTTTACTTCACTGTCTTCAGATTTTGAGTAGTGGGTGACAAACAGTTAAAATCCGCAAAGTAAACACGGCTGACCATAGCTTCTATCCTCCTGCCATATGCAAACAAGACAACCACAATAACTATGAAAAATCTTCACATTTATACACACTCAATCAGTGAAAGAGTTTAAAATGCAAACCCTCACACACGTCTGTGGAATACAGTGTAAATATATAAACGCTTAGATAATACAGCACAATGTACCTTTGGTATGAAAATGATTGATGACATTAGAAAAAAACAAAGTGGATAACAAATTTGTTATGCCATTCGCAACTATGGGTATCCTTTGACATAAAATCTATCAGGATTAACAAAAAGTTTCAGTTGTTCTTTTGGCATTTTACAAAGAATGTGGTTTACGCTTAAAATATTTAGTAAGACTTTGTTTGTACCGGCGCTCCTCTTGCACTTTGTAAAATGTTCACCCCCTTAATATTGCATTGGCATTTGTTTTTCGCATCCCACAGGTCTTCAGCCCAAAAATGATAATATGAATATAAGAATGAATGAATTATTCCAGAGCAAAACACTGTTCTGCTCTCTAATGCATATAATTTGTTCAGTTGTAGTCAATATAAATATGACTTGATTATAGTTTATCCTGCTTTCAACCTATTAACCTTTTTTTATTTCTTTTTATTAGGTTACATCGACGAGTTGCTCAACCGCTCCAGCTCAACTCTGCAGGAGACCTTCACTTCAACTTTTGGCATTCTATATTTGCAGAGTGCCCATGTGTTCTCTGACCTATACACAGATTTGAGGCACTACTACCGAGGCTCCAATCTGGACCTGGAAGACGCACTCAATGATTTCTGGACCAAGCTACTAGAGAAGCTCTTCTCCCAGGCAAACAAGCAATATTCAATTGGTACATTTATACCATATCAAATTACATCTACTGTATAAGGTGGCTTTTTGCCTCAGAGGTTTCACTTTGTTACCAACTTCAGTCTTTAATGGTATCTATGTTCAGTGATTAATGTTGGTTAGGGGAAATTGATACTCCTTACCAAATATCTTTAAATCTACAGCTTTGGCTCAATTTCTTGCTATTCTAATTCTACACAGCAGTGTGACCAAGCCATCATGTTTGTTGGTCATTTCAACATAAAATCCATGTATGCATTTGCAATCCCACAGCCACACATCAGGAGGGCAGGGACACAAACAGACAATATCATGATTACCAGACCTTATTGGCTGTTCACATGTTTTCCCACAACGCTCATTGGACTGTTTTACAATTCAATAAAGAAAATGATGCCTCTCATCATCTAGAGAAAATCCATACGTTCCATGGAAAGGATCAATTATGGGGCCATAACACAAGCAAAGTTTAAACGGAATAAGGATGAAGCACTTTGACATATTTTTTCCTGTAGTTATTTGTAGTTATTGTTTTTAGTCAGAAGGGGAAAGCATGAAATTAGACTTATAACATTTAAATAATATTATATCACTGTGAAATACAGTATTTCAGTAATCTCAGACTCCCTTCCTGCATATAGATTTGTATGCATGTGTTTGTTATTAACAGGTGAGGACTACTTGGAGTGTGTGTCAAAGCAGATGGAGACACTACGGCCCTTTGGCGAAACTCCCCACAAAATGACGTTACAGGTCACTCGCACATTTGTGGCCGCACGCTCATTTATTCAGGGACTGGCGATTGGTGGAGAAGTGGTGCGCAAAGTGTCTCAGGTAAAATTTCAGCCCCGCATTCAAACTATTTCTCCCTCTTGAAATTATATTCTAGTTTGTTTTTTTCAGAAAATTTGTGTGTTGTTTTCTTTTTGATAAATAATCACCTTCCACAGATATAGATATTTTCTGGTTTCTTCATTTATGGCTAATATTAAATACCCCGTATGTGTATGTTTCCATTGTTTCATTCTCCACATGCAAATTGAGTATGCATTCATCTCTCTTTCCTCTCCTGGTCAGCACATTTACCCACACACACATCACCACGGGCCTCCACACGCACGGTACAAACCAGAGGCAGATCAATGCTGGTTGAAACGAGAGGCTCCATAAAGTATAGCCTGCGGCGCGGACAATCGGCCACTGCAACAACAGTTAATGTCAACCCCAAACTGAAAAATGTCTCCCCCAGCTGCGGGGTGGGTTAATATGTCCCGTGAGAAATAGTTCCTTCTGTACAAGAAAAGACTGAGGTTAAGATCAGAGCAAGGAGTGAGGAATCATTTCAGGGGGGTGGTCAGGATTGATGTCCGAGTGAAAAAAAGAAAAAAAAATGAAAAAAAGAATCACCTGTCAGGCTCCGGGAAGAAGAGTGGTGAGAACCATGGCCCCAAGAGAAACACTTTAAACAAACGCTTTTAGCTAACAGATTACTGTAGCCTCAGATAGGAATATCGCAATGGTATTCTTGATCCAATATTACAAGGTTGTGCTGTAGGCTTAACAAAAGGAATGGTAAGAATTATGCAAAAAACCCTTTTGGATGCTTTTTAACAAAAGAATGCAGCTGATCTTTCCCCCTTTTTTGCCAGCTATATGTGAGCTTCCCCATTATGGGGTATCTTTCTGTTTGGCTTTGAAATGAGGTGCAGTGTCTTTCCCTCACACGGACTGACCTGAGAATTACTTAATTGCATTAATCTAGCAAAGCGTTTGAACCTTGCACTTAGCAGAAGAGCAAGACACGGTTCTGAGGTGACAGCTTGAATAGACTGAAGTGGCTGCCCGTCAAACAGAACAGGAGACGTGAGAGTGCCTTAGGGAGCATGTAGGGGGGTGTGAATAATCACTGGTAATGCACACACACCTCATCATCCCATCATTTCCTGTTCATTCTACATAAACATTTGGACGTGCTTGGTTCTGAACGCCATTGAGGAATGTGCTCATTAAATGATGGTGGCTGGGGATAAGGAGTAAATAATTAGCACAGCTTTCACAAAATTACACAATGTCATTTGGAGCTAATGTCAGGTCACCGGAGCCGCCGCGTTCCGAGCAAGGTTATGGATTGCCATTAGTCTTAGCCTGGGAAGGCGAAAGCAAGCCGCATTGTGAAAATAGGCAGTACGGGCACACATTTCAATAATCTTTATGAAAAAGATTTTCAAAGTTTGGACGCCTCAGCAGGACAGAAAGACTTCATGTAAAAAGTGTGTTAGCACAGTCTCCTCACAGTTACAAGGTTCCGCGGTTGAATCTCTGAATTTGAGCAGGGTGTGCATGTTCCCCCTGTGTATGCTTTGGTTCTCTCAGGATTTTTGCTATTGTCCAAAAACGTCCATGCTTGGTCAACTGGGATCTCTAAAATGACCATAGGAGTGAGTGTGAGCTTTAATGGTCTGCATTGCATGGCTCTGTGATGGATAAGTGACCTGTCCAGGCTGTGCCCATCTCCCTCCAAAGACAGCCGAACCCATAATTGGATTTGGCAGGTATAGCAAATGGCTACATGGTTGGATAAAGAAGTCAAACTTTGCATTTACATTTCAATCTCAGTCTTCCCGAGTATACAATCACAAATTGTGCTGGAATAATATAAATACACACAATAGTGAGGAGGAGAGAAAGGAAGCATATAAGATAATGGAGAGAAGATAAGGAATGCATCCCAAATAAATCTGACCTCCTCTCCTTTTTTAGTCATTCATTTCTATGGCATCATTTCTGCTCATATCCTCCACATGTGTACTTTTTATTGTGAATGGTATTGTATCTTTATATGTGTCTTTTCCCATCTTTTCATTGAAACTATACTGGCTCCCTAATGAGGAAATGTTTCCTATTTTTAGCTACGTGTAGCCACATTAAAGGGACCGGTGGCAGAGTTGGTTTATTGAATTCTGCTCAGGGAGGCACACTCCTTGGCTGTAAAGCAGCAAAGAGAAACTAAAAATTCTGTCATGGTAAGCCTGTGCTCCAGATGTCTTACACAGGAATAAATGAATCCCAAGAATCCCTACCATGTCGTAGTTTGATAGAGCTTGTTAATATAAGATGGACTAGTTAAAGGTGATCAAAAAGGTTGTTTGTAAGGAATATAAAGCAAAGAAAAGTAAAGCACAGTAATAGCAGAGAGATTTCATTTGTACATCAAAAGAAAAAAAGTAGGTGAGATGTTTAAGTACAACATTAATTTTACTCTTGCTTTGCTCTGGGCTACACCACTCGATATATCGAGTTTTTTTTGGGACTGTTTTATTCCCTCAGGTTGGGAAGCGGAGGAAGTAGGCCACGTGCAGCATAGCACACTCAGGGGGCAGGCAGTTTGGATCATCTCCCTCCGTAACGCAAGAGGACAAGGGCAGTTCCTGTATTTCTACTAATTACAAATAAATCAAAAGTAATAATACAAAGACACAGATACACAGAGCTGAGAGTAGCCCAGATTGTACAGACAAATAAAACGCACAAGTTGTGAATACAAAACGGGGACAAGTATAATAACAAGTATCAAAGACTCACTTTCACATAAATGCAATAATATCAAAATTAGAAGTTTTCTTTATATCTTTGGATCATAGGGACACAATTTAGATCTATTCAGCATATGTATACATGCACGTGTGTATGAAGCGCTCACCTCTTGCGGTGCTTAATCAGCAATCTTCGAGGCCTTGGGTTGTTTTTCGAAAACCCCAAGTGGCATCCACAAACGTCGCCTGTTAGAAGGTGCTAAATGTGAAACCAAAATAGGGCTCAGATTCCAGCCTGGAGTGACATTTTAAAAACTGCTACAAGGGGAAAATATTTTACTTCAACAAATCAAAATTGTGTTTGGATTAATGTGTTACCGGCAAAGAAAAAGGTCAATCCACCGCTGATCTGATTATCAGAAAATTGAATGTGGGTTCTTTTTCGTCTTTTGGCCCCTCACTGAGAGTTGTTTTCTTTTTCACCGTTTTCCTTTTAGCAAGGACTTCACCTTGTGTTGTGATTAACTGAATTCAGTACTGGTGATATTTTCTAATAACTGAATGATATTTTCATTGTAGCTTAAAGATCATAAGCAATTTAATCTCAGACCATTCTTTGATATTAATGACTGAACCAATCTACAAAACAAATTAAATTAATGCGCTATTACTTTTTGTCTTTATGAATAGAATAACCTGAAATTGACTCATAGTGGCCTACTCTTGATAAGCACTATTTCAATCCATTTTTCACTTAGTAAATTTCAAAGCTTTTCATCATCCCACTTACTCTCTAATTTTTATGTCATTTTGCTTACTGATCCCTGCACACTCTCCTCTCTGACTCCTCTCACCAAAAAAGCAATCATCTGACTCATCCCCGCCTAATGAGTGGTAGGATATGGACGGCAGAACAGGAAAAAAATAAGTAGAGGAATGAGAATCTGACTCATGTCTCATATGACTTAAGATTAGGCCTGGGAATGTGGTTAGTTCTTTTCTTAGAAACACACTTTACTTTATTCTGTGCTGCTTATGCAAGTGAAATTCATGGTGATCTTTAAGTGGAGATGAATTCACAAAAGGACTTTACAAAATCGTACTAGTACTACACACACACACACACACACACACACAAACACAAACATTTTAATATTCCAATATTCCTGTTAAGCATTTTTCATTTTATTTACATTTGAATGTTTTTGTATGGATTCTAGGTGGTATTGCACATTACAAAATGCAATCCTTAGCTAATAATTGACCTTTGTGAACTACTGTATGTTTATGGCTGACCCAACTGTTGCCCTAATTCTTCTGAATATTTGTTCAAATGTGGTTTGAACTGTGACTGTACTGTTAGAGAAACAATTTGGAGAAAAATCATCATACCGGCCCAGATGTCAGCTTAGACGAGCTTTGTATGCATAGCTGGGTTTGTTCCATCTCTCTCACACTTTCTCTGTCTCAAACACACACCCCATACTTCCTGAGATTTTGTATGCATAGCTTTACTCTCTTGTGAACAGAGCTTACTGGTATTAACCCAGTTTCACTTTTCACGCACGAAGGCCTTTTTCCTTTGGGAACAGCCTTTCGGGACAGGGAGAGAAATGGAAAAGGCAGGAAGGACAGAGTCAGGGACTGAGAATACTTGTATCAATGTCACAGCCTTTTCATCACTTGTGAGAGAAAAAGCAATTTTTTCCCTTAGTAGTTTCCAAGGAAACTGTATTGAAAGAAAGTCTGTTTAGAACTAAAAGAAGGTCACTGTGGGGGATTATCTCCTACTGTTCTGCAACTGTCATTGACTTAACTAAAAGATGTACAGTTTCACATCTAATTAAAACTGAACAGTTTTACGAAAATATTGTGCCAAATAAAAGAACTTTGAACAGTTTTGACACTGCCTTTACGTTTGTTTTTCCTTTTTTCATCTGAAAGTTGTCCAATGGAGCAGTGCTTTTCTTCACCCAGGTGATATGTTTGTTTTTTGTCGGTTTCCTACCTCAGGTGCCACTGAGCCAAGAATGCATGCGGGCCATGATGAGAATGACTTACTGTCCCCACTGCCGTGGCATGCCCTCCGCGAAACCTTGTTCCAACTATTGCAGCAATGTCATGAAGGGTTGCCTAGCCAACCAAGCTGATCTCAACAGTGAATGGAGGAATCTAGCAGGTGGGGAGTGCATACACACTCACACATGGATACGATTTATTCATTAGTTAAAGTTTTAACCCAACACAAGATGACCGTGAACCTTTATTGTTTTACTAATGCACCGAGGCACTCCCTGTCAAACCTTTCACTTCTTCTTTTTACCTGTTCTTTTGTCTTTGTAGAAGCAATGGTGGACGTGGCATTGCACCGGTTGGATACCATGGATAGTTTGATCCTCTCTCTCCCAAATCAGATTTTAGAGGCCATGTCTACCATGATGGAAAACCTACTAACGGTTAATGTCAAGGTTAGAAGCACATCATTACACATTGAAAAAGATAACATCAAATTCTATTTCATATTTAAAATAATCTGAATCTGCTAAAAAACATATGTCAAAGTTACAGGAATCAACATTAGTCATTCTAAAATTTTATAAATATACCAGTTACTTGCTAATGAGAACTTACCGTCATTTTACATTTCGTCAGTGATATTGTACCCATGCAAAACACACAACCTTTGTTCTTAATAAGTACCTATTTAGATCTAACAATGGGAAGAGCAACACTCAACACAAGATCTTGTGTGACAAATAGTTTAAAAATGAATTTTCGTACTTTTAGGCTTACACAAGAGAAGCTTTCCATACTTAAATATAAAGAATCCATACAAACACTTTCTTTTGTCTGGTTGCCATAAAAATATGTTTTGTTTGGTTCATTGTGATGGTATGAAGTAGGAAAAGCCTGAATGACTCATTTTAGTCAGTTTTTTGCAAGTGAAAATAAATCTCCTGGGGAGGGCTTTGTGTTTAGGTCTGTAGCTCAATAGGCACTTTACATAGAGCAAGAAAGTGAGAAAGTTCACTAAAGATAAGAAAAAGGGGGACAAATTGCCCCTCCAATTTATTTCTTGCAGATACATTCACAAATCATATTAGAAAGACTTTCAGAAAGTTACAGGTGCCAAATAAATTGCCTTCTTAAAATGTTGGGTTTCTTTTTACCATAACTTATTGTTATTGTGAAATATGACCCAGTTATCATCCAGTCTGTGCTAGCATTATGGCTTATATTAGCTGACATTTTACTAGACAAAAACTCTTGTGATACGTAAACTTTTATTTCATTCAAACTCTAGGGAATACATCAAAATGAAATTGGCAAGCATTCATCCATAAAATGCCATGCAGTATGTTTCAAATTGTCCTGATAACCTATTTTTCTCATCTTCCTCATACTCTGAGGGAGGTAGTCCTACATACACACTTTCTGACAGCCTTGCATTTTTTACTTTCTCTCTTCTGCAATTTTCTCGTATTAATTAGCTCTTTTGAGTTTTTGCATGGAGTTTTTTTTATCTTGGTTAATAAAATAGGTATATTTTATATATATATTGCTTTAGAATTTTTTTCATGGATTACAGGCAATGAAGTTTCCAAATGCTTTAAAACTTTTGTTTTATTTTGTCACGCAATAAATCAAAGTAGTGTTGGGACGAAGAACTTCTCAACTGACTCACAGTTTAATATATTTCATCTGATATCACTGTTTCACCCCAGCTGTAATATGCTGTTAACACCTTGCTCCCTCTACATTAAGGCCATTGTGCTGCTCCACATACCTTTCTCCACATTTCAAATCAAGGGATGTAAGTCAGGTCAGAGTCAATCGGCCAGGCTTTCACATCCTTGTTTAATGGTGTTTGGGAAACAGTTTTATATGAACCTTAATAACAACTGGCAGCAGTGAAAAACTTAACTGAGCTACTCGGTGAAGTTGGATAACAGAGTACATAGTGTGAAGAAAGACAATGCTTCCTCTGTGCAGATTTCCTGAAAAAGGTGAACCAGAGCCTCAGAAACTGCCTCTGAACTGATTTAGTATGGTATTAACACATGGATTTAGACTCTGATCCTCATATTATGGAAAAAATGTGTTGGTAGATGTCTACTGATGTCCGCAGTGTTGAAGAGATTATGTCATATTTACATAATCTGGTCATGTTAAAAGCCATATGTTGAGTTCTGGGCCCTCCTGACAAAGCCAAAATGCATCCACACCAATAGCAACACGTCTGAGTAAATATCAAGAGCCACTTGGTCTATTTTGGATCAGTCACAGATATGCGGTAAGACTTTAGCAGAAAGTTGACAGGGGCCTGTTTCATAGTTATTCATGAATGCTCAAAGAGTTGTTGCTTCTCTAAACAGAGCAGATTGGATGACAGATTGATTGTAGTTTTACAGTATTCCTGGTACACCATTTAAAAACTCTAAATCACAAGGGGACAAGAAGTGCTTCCTTAATTGTGAATCAGTCTTCGATGGTAATATTTTGATTCACATTAGGGGTCATAAAAATAACCACTACCAAATGTCAGTGTCAAAATCTGTTTGCACCTAAATGCTCTTTTTTATCACTTAGATTTAGAGAATAATAAATGACTAAAACAAATGTTGAGTGTGTTCAATCATGCCATGCCTGCACTAAGCCTTTTAATAACTTGGCCTCCCTCACATGGTTTCCTGTCTCTTCTTTCGTCTTTTGTCTTCTTTTTCAATTTCTCTTTCCTCAGTTGTTCCAGGCATGCGGTAACCTCAGAGAGGGTGGAACAAGCGGCACAGGAGCAGAGGAAAGTATGAAGAGAGGAAGGGTTACAGTCGAGGACAGTCTGGGAGACAGCTCTAATAAAATGGCAAAGTTGGTTAGTATCTACTCACCAGAATTTGTGCTCTATCCCTGTGACCCTGTCTGGCCCTTTTATAGAGATACATTTTTTACAGAGGAGCCATTACTCATGGTGTGCAGTTAAATGACTGTTGTTGCTAATTCCACCTTTGCACAGAAACGCTTGGGATTATTAAAAGGGGGGGGTGGATGACTTAGATGCGCGAATGGGCCAGATGACTGAGCATTTCAGGTGGTCATTGAGGCAGCAAAAGATTACTAAAAATATAAAAATCCACCAACCCGACTCTTTTCAATTTTGCCCCTCAGGTGTCTGATGTGGTCAAAAAACTGAAAGAGATGCAGCCATACTGGGTTTCTCTTCCAAATATTATCTGCAGCAAAAGAGTGGCTACTGGTGCGGGAGCGGAGGATAAGTGTTGGAATGGCATCAGTCGTGCCAGGTAGGCATCGTAAACCTTTTAAACAATGCTTGAAATAACGAAAGTATTTCCAGCCATCCAGGGTGGTCCGACAACAAATGCATTATTTATTGTTGTTTTATACATCTTTTATCTATTAAGTTCTCCAACCAAGCAGGTTTCTGAAAATACATCGATTCACATACTATTAATATTCATTACCGTGGAGATTCCAGGACCACTGAAGTTTTTTTACACATAGCGGTTAAGTCTCATGGTACATGAAAAGTCTTGTCTTTTATTCAGATTCAAAATAGATTGCACTCAATAACACTTTTCATATGAATGTTTCCTTCAAGCATGAATTATCTTTGTGTAAAGGACGAACGTGTCACTCAGCAAGCTAAAAGATCTAGGCATCTACGGTGCAAGAGTTTTTTTCAAGGCCAGTGTTGTCAATAGGTTAGGCGTCTCAGATACTCACAAATGCTATGTTGAGATTACAGGCTAGGAATGAGTGGTGAAAAAACTTGAGTGTAAGAAATATTCAACGGTATATCGACTCCACTTTTTTTCTCTCATGTTGAAGTGCATCACAGAACGTAGCAATATAGCGCTTTCAGTCCATGCTGCATTTTTCCTCTCATACTAACACCTTTTTCATCTTAGAAGTGAGTTTCCACAATACTAGAGTGCTTGAAAAAAGGAAAATTTGATCTAATATTGTCATAAAACCAACTTCTGCCAAGCTGGTGTTACTAATAGCTGAATTTGAATAACAAGTTCAGTCATCACTAGTTCTAACAAGTCTTTATGTGAAACAGGTACCTGCCTGAGGTGATGGGTGATGGCCTTGCCAGTCAGATCAACAACCCCGAACTGGAAATCGACATCACCAAACCAGACATGACAATACGGCAACGAATAATGCAGCTGAAGATCAACATTCACCGCTTAACGAAGGCTTTCAGTGGCCAGGATGTGGACTTTCAAGATACCAGTGAGTACATTCACAAGAACCGAATATGTTTGCTTCTATTTAACTCTTCCATTTATCTCCTGTGAGCCATAGCAATCAGAATCAATGTGTTTTCTCACAAATGTTTAGGATGACACTGAAAGATGTGCCACTACTAAATAGTATAGAATGATGCTCAAGTGTTTGGAAAACCGATGGTTTATTTATTTGGTCAATTATAGCAAAGAGGCAAAAATAAGTACATGTGAAGTTCTCATTCACATGTTCTCCCTTGGAATTGATATGAAGATACAGAAAGGTTTTTCTCTAAATTAGGGACCTCAAACAGTTAATTCAAGAGAACATTAAGTTCTTCCAATTGACATTAGCTGAGTGCTGTATTACTGCATGAGAGGAAAACTTTTTATTTATGAGAGAATGTTTTTTCTTCTTCATTTCATCGATCTGTTATCTTGCTTCTTAAAATGCAAACAAAATGATTTATTGAAAAAATTATCATGGATAATCATAATTATTATTCAGGCTAATTTCCTCATGTTGCTTTGACAGGTGATGATGGCAGCGGCTCAGGAAGTGGCATGTGTGCTGATGGAATGTGTTCCAGAGGGCCACGTCTTGTAGCCATCACTGAACGTCCCATATTCTATGCCTACCCTCCAGAAAACAAGAAAGTGAAAGCTTCAGCCCAGCAGAACCTGCCATCCATTGGCATCTTCCTGCTTGTAATCCTCATTTTGCTCCTCCGGCGATAATTCATAGCAGGATCTTCTAACTGGGACTAAGTTTGGTATACAGGGGCTGAGGGACAATACTAAAGGGGAGGGAGGAGAAGTTGAGATAGCAAGTGAGTTTAAAGAAACAAGAACAAAAAAAAAATTGGAACATCATCCTTTGACTTTGGATTAGAGAAAATAATTGGATTCTCACTATTCATCAGTTTGTGTTCTTCTCTTGTCCTTTTTGTAATTATTCTATGACACCATTAGAGCTGGTCTTTTCTCATCTTCTAATGTTATGTTCCTAATGTTTCAGTTCTCTGAGATAATATTTGCACCTAAGACTATATTGCTACCTGTATGTTGGTATGGATGCCGTAGAGAGAGGGAGAATGGATCTTTGCAGTGGAATTATTTATTTGATAAAAATCACAGTAGTAGACCCCAAAATAGTTTAATCCAACCAAGAAAGAAATGGTGTGAAAATGACTCATAAAAGAGGATAATCTTAACAACATGACCCATTAGGCCTTCTAATGCATTGAGCCTTCTCACAACTTGGATGAGAGCACTCAGCATCAGCACTTTCTTCCATTTCAGCACGTAATCTGTGAAAAAAAAAAAAAAGACATGATCACATTCACACAGACATTATCGTCCAGTAAAAGGGCAACGTCCTCCACGCCATCCACCAATCCTTTCACTGATCCTTACGTTACACCTCTCTTCCCTGCGAAGGCAGACCGCTCTCTCTCTCTCTCTCCCTCTCTCTCTCTTTCTCTCTCTCTCTCTATCTCTCTCTCTCTCCCTGCTGGCAGTGTGGTATCACGTTGAGATTTTAGTTTGAGTGAGGGGCCAGGGACAGGTTTCAGATGTCAGCATATAGAATGAAAGTGTTGGTTCTCAGATCCCCCCTCACAGCAAAGAACACATGTAACAAAACCAAAATATACACAGAAGAAGAAACATTCAAATCCCACGTCAGATCACAATTACATTACATAACTGTATGTGTTTCTCACAGAAGCCTGGTGTAACTGTTCCTGCCATTGTTTCATGGGCTTTTGTGTTAATGCAATATGATCTGTACTTTTATCACTTCTTTTTATATGAAAACGGCAAATAAAATAACCAGTTAGATGATAAAATCTTATTATAGTGAGGTATGATCAGTCAGTATCCATATCTGCCCTTCAGTTTCTCCCCATCTTCTCAACATAAGTGCTTCTTAGTCCAAACCCAAACTCCCTCAACCTTTTCGTTGCTCATCACTTATGATGAACTTTAGAGTGCACCTAGTACTTCTATATGATGGTAAGGCGATATGACAGTGACACAGTGCTTCATTATGTGTTAACCTTCCCGGGAACACAGTTTAATGCCTTTCCTGATGAGATGCTTGCTTGGGAAAAATCGTATACCAAATTCAATGTCAAATCTCTCATTTAAGATTCTGTGGTTTGGATGATGGGACAGAGCTTGCATGTGTGTTTGTGTATGAGATTGTGCATGAATTTGTGCACTTTTCTATGATTGACAGAACAAAATCAGGACAGAGGAGAGAGCTTTTGTTAATCTTAGTAAATATTCCTTGAATGGGACAGGAAATAAATATTTTCAAATGTAGTGGGCTAACATTATATGATAGCTATTAAACTGACAACAATGGGAGATTGATATTGCTCACCTTTTAATAATAGTACTTTGAACCAGCTATTATAATAACTTACACTCCTTACCTGTGTTATCTGTGCTTCCCAAATTATACATGACAGTGAGAGGGACTATAGAAGAACTGAATGGACATGCTTTTAAAAGTGTGTCTTTGTATCAATTGTGCACTGGGACAATCCACTGTAATTCATATAGAGAAAAATAATCTACCCATACCTAGACAGTTTGTAATGCAGCAATTATTTTGGGGCTGTCAACGTTTGATAAATCTATTTGGTAAATAACCGATTAGTTCCAGCTCAGAAAATTGGTGACTTTGTCATAATATGTGTTAGATGACAGGTGTCTTTCATGGTACTTCTTTTTTTTATATGCTTTATTAATGAATGAATTGTGGCTGTGTGTATGTGTCTGTTTCTCTGTTAGTCTCTGATTAAGGAATCTGCCTGTGACTGCCTTTTACACTCCGGGCTTAATTTTGAGATGTTAGTTGTTTTTTGGTGGTGATGAAAAAGGTATTTTATGCATTTTAGCCAAGAACAACTAGCAAGCGCACTCCACAGGTCTCCTTTTTGTGACCTTTTAGAAAAATCTGAATATGAATGTGAATGAAAGTACAAACAGCCCTAAAAAGAATAATAAATCGCTCCAACTGTGATGGTGACATTCCAGTTCAAAGATTACCTGCGACTTTAGACTCACAACTTTGTTTTCAGTGACTGCCTCACAATGTCATCGGCTGAAATTTGCACAACCCCACTACCCACCCCTTCCTCCTTCACTTTTTGATCTCATTCATTTGTGGTTCGAAGTCCCCTCCCCTTTGTAAAACCTGCACTTTTATGAGGCCACTAAATGGCATTGTCTGCACATAGACATCACAAGATGGTCGATCAATATGAGAGTCAACACCTTCCAGACTATTGATTGGGAATGCGTGTATGCAGATAGATTTGGCTTAGCAAGATGACTCCTGTTTGACGACAATGAACGAGTGTAAACATGAAGCCCCTGAGTGGGAGAGGAAGCAGGAAAAAGAAAAAGGATGGCTCTGATCTCGAATCAGTGTGTATGCCTCAGTCCTGTTTTCACAATCCTGAATTTTGCTGGTGGCAAAATCTGGAAAGCTGATTACCGAGCAATTACAAACAGCTTTATTCTACACTGAGTTGAGAATGGGACGCATTTCTGAAAGGTGCCAATTTATGAGGAAAATTAATACTTTTATTTTTTTCTGTTTTACTTTGGTTGTGTTGTTATCAGAAATATATGGAGAGTTTGTTCCAATGGTGAAAGTAGACTACAGAAAGAGGTTGAGAAATATCTAAAATGTCTCATTTGCTGTTGTACCTGAAATCTTGTGTCAATTATATACATTGTAAGATTTTCAACATTCCCGTGTCCTCTTTCTTTAATTCTGCATGCACTTCTGTGAATAATATATTTATTTATACATAGATAAAGACGATATAGACACATATAAGTATATAAAGTATACTTATGTATAAAAGGGATCTTCTTCAAACTATCTGTGCCATCTGCTCACATTTTCTTAAAACACACTGGGAGACCCTGCCACCTGAAAAACACCAACATGCTCCAGTGATGATGTCAGGGAAGACAGACGCTGTCTAGTGTTGCAACGCAGGAAAAACTACCACATGTTTAGAGCACACTAAGTGCTTTGTCTTGTTTCTGTGTGTAGACAATGAAAGCTTTAGTCCTCTTGGGATGTTTTTAAAAAGATGTACTTGACCATGAGCCAATGGGAGACCGCTCCTCACACTCAGCAGTCTAAAAAAGACAGCGTTTTAAGTCGGTGTATAAAAGGTTAGGACTTTTTACAAGGCGGCAGAGCTTTTCTGACCCAAGATTAGTTTTGATGGTGAAAGCATGTGAAACTACATCACTGGAGGCATATCATGGCATTTCAAATAAGACTTTTTTTTTATTATGAAGTCATTTCTAAGTGTTTGAACACCAAAGGTAAATATTCTTTCTGTTGATACAAATCAAATATATCTGGGATTTTCATTTACACAGTTTCGAAACAACTAAAAATAGGCAAAAAAAGAACTATTTCAGCAACACTACCCGATAACACCTCTTTTGGACAGCACCACACCTTTTAAACATTTAAGATTCAGTGAAAAATAGAAGTAAGTCTTAAACAGTCTGCATATTCTCATCTCCTCTTTTGGAACCTGCACACAGATCTGCAGTGATGTTCAGGATGGGCCATTATGATGTTAAAGCCTAGCTTTCATCCCTTATGGATTTCAAAAGAAGTATGTGTAGTAAGAACATTTTATCAGTTTTACTTTACCTCTATTGTGGCCGTTGACTTAAATTTTTTAATTCATATCCTAACATTAAAAACATTGATATGTTTTGAAGGCTTGCTTCACAGGAATATATGGTAAGAATGTTTGTCCATTGCATTTCCCTTGGGAGAAGGTTCAGATTGTAATATGTGAAACATCAAGATTCTGACCCTATAATAGAATGTATATCATATTCGATACACACGGTTTCTGGAGTGTTTTGCATCTGAGACATTTTGCATCATTTCATGGTAAAAACTTTGCTCAAAACCCTGTTGTACACAATCAGATACATCTGATAACAGCGGGCAGAAGACTACACAACAGTAACTTTGATTTATCGCACGGTAATAAATGATGAATATTCCAAATTATTTCTGTTTATCTTTTTTTATATTTTGTTAAAGGGCCAAATAAAGACTTCAAACAAAAAAACATCTCAATTTTTATTGGATCAGGCTTTGAATGCTTAACTGAACTGAGGAAGCTGCTGGGTCAGACAAGGTACAAATTCAGATCTATTCTGTTGTACATGGATTCATCTCAACAGTAAATGTGTATTTTTTCAATTGTATTTCTTAACATGACAATGTTAAGAAACCTACATTAAACAAGCAAATTAATTTAACCTTGAATTAGTTGTTTTTAACTCTATCTGGTACAACATGTTTTACCACTTGTAAACTCTCATATTCCCTTCTTCACACATACATACATGTAAGCAGACACATGCCCAGTCTCAGCTACTGATTGTGACTGAGGTGTCCCCTTTTTCTTGCTGCACATACCAGTGCACAAAGACACATGGCATGTTTTTAGCCTTTTGGCTTTCAGCTTGCTCTCTGCTTCACAGTACTTTTATGAGTCACTGCATCGCAAACAGAAAAAAAGAATTTGCTCAACAGGGCAAAACACTTGCCAATAAAAATCACCTCAACTCACTACACCTGACTGCCTTTATTCTACATTGTAACATGTCTCACGGTACTCAAGTTAGAATCTATATCTACACCATCTGGCTGTTTCTTTTTTTGTTTT